TTTTTAATTTAAAATAATAGCTAGTTTTAACAGTCTTAAAAAGTCGTTTCGTTGCCAAGAGGCTTCCGCTTGAGTTGTCTGTGCGTCCCATGTTACAGCTTGTTACGGCCCAGAGATGCCGCAAGCTGCGTGCCGCGCACCTGCCGGCCACCAAAACGAACATTTTAAATAATTCTAAATTCCGAACCGGTGCCGGTGACGGCCGAACTTCAGCGAACAATGCCCGCGAAACATTCCCTGATTGCTAATGAGGACATTGTGGAACAACTTGAATTAAACGAAACGGAATAAGGAAATAAGAGCCAAGTTTTGCCCAAAAATTCGGTCAACCATTCCCGTCTTTTACATTTTCCTTTATAATTTCTTATTACTTCTGTTATCAACGTACTTTAAAATAGATAAGAATGTGATACGATCTATAAAAAGGAAAAAGATTTTAGTACGTTGTAATGAGCGAACGAAAGATTTTTCATAGAATTTATACTAAATAATACATAATTATAATCTAATTATATTTTATCTCTCATTGAAAGAAGAAGAAGTAGTTATATTTATATCATTATTTCTATGTTTTAATTTAATTTAATGACTATGCACTATCTTTAATTGTTTGAACCTACTGACTACTTAACACATTAAAATAATTTTATAACTAGATCCTTAGTAAGAGATTAACTTAGATAACTCTGTATGAAAAATATTTTGAATTTGAAATCGAGACGCACATCATACTTATTTTTTAAATATAAAGTTATTTTAATTGAGTATCTGGATGAAATTTATAACATATTGTCTAGACATATCTCGTTATATCTCATTTCGTTAGAGTGGACCGATCGATTTTTTATCACAGCTGCAGGACAGGGATAATCCTGAATAGATGATAGAGTGTTTTAAGCTCAAGTAAATTCATATCTTGTGGAAAAGGAATTTTAAGTTTAAAAATTGCAATCTCCCCGACCTAGATTGGAAGTTTTCAGTCAGCTTTTGCTAATCCAAAATATATTAAAGTTCGTGGAAAATATTTCAGGTTCAAATAATGTTGTAATTAGTTATTCTAGTAATTAGTACTTTAGAAATATTGGTAAAAATTCTTAACTCATAACTTTGCTAACATGTGCACGAAATATCAACTTATTTTTTAACTGTTTAGTATGTTAATTGGAATTCTAAGAAGTTAACTGATTTTATAATAGTAGAAAGTAGCTTTCGATAGGGCAACCGTTACAAGGTTAAATAGCTTTTAATTACTAACCAGTGAGCGTATCAGCCGCCTTCACTGTGCTCTTCTTTACATTCAGTATTTTATTTTCTACTCTGTACGAATATATTCACCAGTTTAGTATTTCCCAACTGCTATCGTTATTACGAATATACATACGAATGCACTACATTGGTAAAGAGGGTTTGCATAACTGACCGGCACATATATTTTTTAACTGCCTTCAAAAAGGAGGAGGTTATCAATTCGGATTTTTTTTATGTATGTTCGGGCATAACTTCGTTATAGATTGATTTTTAAAATTCTTTTTTTGTTTGAAAGGGGTTTACTCCAAATATATATCACCATCATCATCATCCTATCGCAGTCCATTGCTGGACATAGGCCTCTCCCATTGCGCGCCTCCAAATCGTCACTCCACCTGGCCTGTAGGCGTTCTACACTACGTTTGCCGAGACGCGGTCTCCACTCAAGAACTCGTTTTCCCCAACGGTTGTCGGTTCTGCGGCTAATATGGCCTGCCCACTGGCACTTCAGCTTGCTAATCTGGTAGGCTATGTCGGTGACCTTGGTTCTCTGCCGGATCACCTCTTTCCTTATGCGATCCATTAGAGGAACGCCGAGCATAGCCCTTTTCATAGCACTTTGATTGACTTGTGGACCAGCCGTATCGTAAGTGTTCACGTTTCGGCTTCGTATGTCATGACGGGTAGGACGCACTCATTGAACACTTTCGTCTTAAGGCACTGTGGGATCGACGAAGAGAAGACTCGACGTAGCTTCCCAAACGCTGCCCAACCCAACTGAATTTTTCTGTTTACCTCGTCCTCAAAGTTGTTTCTACCTAACTGCAATGTCTGCCCGAGGTACACATGATTTTGAACAACTTCGAGAACGGCACCGGGTACCGCAATCGGTTCAGGTTGAACATGACCTTGGCTTTATCCAAGTTCATGCGTAGGCCGATCCGTACAGAAGAGTCAGCTAGGTCATTCAGCTAAAAAAAAAGAAAATTTGTGAACAATTTCGGGAAAATAACGTCCCCTGATGATGAGTTTCTAAGACAGACTACGGAACTCTTCAAAAAATGACAGCAAATAAACCGCGATTGCTGCTAGGTTTTTAGTGCTCTTTGTAAGCATTGTTTGAATTCGGTTCAACTTTTTTAAGAAGGATTTTCTTGATAAAAGTACAAATTTCAAGCCTGTATGATAAAAAAGCACTAAGGAAGATTTGGACTGAATATTCTCCTCTCAAAACAGTGCCGAAATGTAGCTATTTGGCTGTATAAAAAGTCCTTGCTGGATATTCATGTAACTTTTTAAAAATCTCACGATATGAAAGGGACAACAAACAAGGAGTAAAAAATGTCCGCGCAAGTGCGAGTCGGACTCGCCTATCAAGGGTTCCGTGTAAATTTGTTAGTACATGTTATAAATAGTTCAGGAATCGAGTTTCGCAGTTTTTAAGAGGTTTTTCCGAAATTCAGTTTCTAAAACCTATAATTGTGGTATGAGTCTATAAGACGATGTTACTTGCCAAACTTAGTATTTCTAGGTCAACGGGAAGTACCCTATATATTTTGATTCTCCTGAGAGTGTCGAAATATGCGTTTTTTTGCGGCATAAACGATCGTATTTTTTTTCTTTTGTTTTTAAGTTTGATATTTTCACAACTTGAAGGGACTTTAGACCTGAGTTCGAGTACGCGTTCTCAAGATAAATGGTCTTGGCAGACGGACAGATAGACAACAATGTGATCTTATAAGGGATCCGTTTTTTCCTTTTCGGGTACGGAACCCTAAAAGTACAATTAAATTAAATTACTCCTAAAAGTAATCTTATCGCTCATATTAATACTGTATATTTTCATTCGCGACCTCGTACTGGCAGGTATCGGCCGAGTCACTAAATAAATTTTCTTTGAGATAATAAGACTCATCCCGAAACAATGACTGCTATACATTTGTATTGTCGTACGACAAATATAAATTGTACGAGCGTAACACACTTGTACGAATAAGGGGTGGTGAGCGAGGTGGAAAAAAAATGTTTAACCTGCTTCCCTTGATCACATTTACTTCCCCGTGACAAGCCTATGATAAATGTTAAAAATTTCTGTCAGAAATTCGAAATTCGTTTCCTCCATCATTCTTACTTATTATTTTGCTGGAATATTATATATACTTATAAATGGATAAACGTTCTTATTCTTCACCTTCACAAGCCGTAACTTTATCCGAGTGAAACCTTGTAACATCATATCCATCCTAAGGTCACATTACGTGTCCATGAACAAAGCTGCTTTTCTTTATATCATTTACAATATTTTCGATACCAAATTACCTCCTATTCAAATTAGCCTAGCCGTCTTTCTATTCATTCGTGTATGACAGTCATTACGGGCGCGCGGCAGCCCCAGCGCCGTCCTGACCGCTGGCGCCGGTCGAATGGACTCGGCACTGATGGCACACTGGATAGGCCTACACGTGAGACCAAGCGCCTGACTGATGTTACTAACACTAGGCTAAGAATATTGTTACTAACAAATTATATGGACTTAGTCTGAAAATAAATTATTATTATTATTATTATATTATTATTACACGTACACGTATGGACACGTAGACTAATAACATTGTTAATTGAATTTAAAAGGATATCCAACATTTTTTCCACAAATTTTTACCTAACGCAAGCACATGAGGTATCGTTGAAAAAGTGTATAAAGAAGTATAAAAACCGTAAAAAATCATACTCCTAATAAAATATGTAATTCTCTTAAACGATATTAACAAAACGGTGCAAAACTTTTGAAACAACTTAGGAAAATAGCACTTAGAGAACGAATTCAGCGAAATATTTCAATAAGTATTTTTTGAGGCGTAGAAAATAATTTTGTCTATTACAGTATCCCGGAATACAAACTTACTTGTTTCACCGTTAAATTTTTGATAAACTAGTATAGGGTACATTAATTGCTTACTTAGTCAATTCTAGCTAAATCGTCTTTTTTTATAAGATATTGGTATTTTCTGCCGCAATTCTAACGAGCCTGCGAAGGTGCAGAAAAGAAATTCTTATAAAATGAATGAAAAATGAAACAAAATCTAGAACGTACAACGTTCTGCCAGAGCCGAAATGATCTTATGCAACATTGTTTTTTTTTTTTAAGTAACCTGTAGTGGGTTGAGTTAATGTCACTGGACCCGTTCGAAGGCCATAGAAACGGTCCAGCAAAAAATTTTCAGACAAAAATTAACCTAATGACTTTTAAGCAGAGAAAAGAGCAATTCATTACTTGAGTTACCAATTTTGGAACGTCGATACCACGCCCGGGGACTAGAGATCTGATGTCAGAGATGTTTTAGTTGATTTGACTTCTATAAACTTGTTGGTGAATTGGTGAAACTGATTGTATTCCATAAATATTAAAGTTATTTGTATTTGTTGCATGATATTGTCGTCACAGTTTAAAACTCTAATAGTACGTGATATAGGAATTATTGTTAGTCATTCTAAGCTTTTAGGTGTTTATTGGTAGGATTAATGTATTTTCTTTTTCAGTCTAGTGTGATTTGTGTTAATTTCTTTTTTAAACCAATCCTTTTTTTTAAATTAGGTAATCTTCACGTTCATGTGTCATAAACAATGTGTGTGTTAAATAAGAAAGGATCACAGTTCTGCAATAAGCAGTTTTTTGTGCATTCACGGACAGACTAACAACGGTAAAATTTGTGTGTAGAAACTATATATATAAATTTTTCGTGTTGTTTCAGAGTCAAAAACTGGGCTTTAAAATTCGGTGTAGATCTCTGGGAGTTTGGACGACATTTTACGAAAATGAATCAAATACAAAATGTAAGTATTTTTACGTGCTTTATTAATATTAAGCTGATTATTGACATGTATTTTTCTACCTATCTATCTGCCTCTGCAACAGAATTCTTTCAATCAATTGCTAGACTTCTGGTAAATTTTAAAATTTTCAAACAAATCACAAGCAACACAACTACATGGAAAAATTATTTTCTACTTTTTAGTTCGTTTAGCTAATGGAAGGGAAAGTTTTTTACTTTTCTTATATTTTAATAATCTAATATTAAAGTGCTGTAATCCCCATTACTGAAGTCACATCAATCTAAAGTTTCCTATCAAACGTGCCTTACAAGGTAGGCTAGATATTAATAAATACCCTTTGGCGGCTTTACCGTTCGTCACTGAAGATATACACCAAATTTGAGCCTAATCGGACCTCGGGTGGTTCTAATTTAGCGTCCAAAATTCGTTCCAAATACACATACATACAACATTGCAAAGTTTGTAAAGAATTAATATCTAAAAATCTATCTAAAAATTTTGGTGAAAATGGAATGTATGATTTTTCCTCTTGACAGCTATAGAAACGCGGAGAGCGTGTAGGTTACCTGCTCGGTCCGACGCGTTCTTACAAAGAATGAGTCAGCGTTTATAACGCCTCCTGTCGGTACCTGGCGCGCTCCATATTCGCCAGTTACATGTCCGACGTGAGACGAGCTAAACCCAACTGCACTAAAGTTTTTTAACTCTCTTTGTTTTGAATTCATCTTGATAGCTACTATTAGCTCGATGTATAACTGACCAACTTAACTGTGTTAATCTAATTAACACGCAATCAGTTTAAGCGAGCAATTTTTAAGTAAAACTTAGTCGAGCCTGTATCTTGGAAACCGCTCTGACTATTCAAATAAAATTTTGTAAAAAAAATTGCATTTTTAATCTAACTATATTGGTGTCTTTAAAAATAAAAAAAAACGCTATGTTTGGAAACAAAACACCATTTGACCTTCAAATGGTGTTTTGTTTCCAAACATAGCGTTTACGTACTAGTAAATCATTCTAGTGCTTTTTTAGACATTGAAAATTTAGTCATCACAAAATTCTTCAGTTTTATCATGAGGTCAAGTCGATAATTCCTACTTGGATTTGAAGTTATATTATTGACTACATGAATACGTAATAGTTGTTGCGGCCGATTGAAGTGATAAGAGCACAAACTGCTACTCTAGCAATACCTAAAATAGCATTATTAAAATAAATAGTATAAGTAATGCATTCACACAAAAATGACATGTGTTAACACTGTCATAAATTTTACCCCATTCATGGTCAAAATAAAAAATTATTGTAACATTTAAAGGTATAAAATGTTTTAAATGATCCGATTATCACACCCTTTTACAAGTGCCCATATTTTAATTTTATAAAGCACCTGTAAGGGTGAAAATTGAGTTCCAAGAACCAATTCCCATCACAGAAAAGTAATGAAATAACATTTTTTGATATTAAAATCTCATATTCGTATTAATTACATATCATGTAATCATTAAAGATTCAGATATGTAGTTAGGCGGTTATTTTAGAACTATACAATATTCAATTTAATTCAATTCAGTTCGTTAAAAAACAAACATTATCCTTTACATTACTTAAACATCATTAAGATATTACAAAAGCCACCTGATATTTAAATTTGAAGGTGTAATTTAAGGAGGTAACTTAAAACACGATCATTGTTGTTTATTTATAACTGATTCAAAAATTAACAACCCGTATGTGTATGATGAGTATTATTTATTTTGTCTAGACGGCATTAAACACTTTAAAGAAACAATGACTATTATTGCACATTGCCACAGATGTAGACATCGTAGGTACAAGTACTTTTTTGCAATAATACTACTTCCATTCGCTATGAGTTCAGTCGTTTCATCCGATCGATATAACGTTTTGAATACATTTTCCTAACTACAAATAGTAAACCTTTTTATATTATAAATTACGATATTTCGTATGCAATAATTTTACTTTGAGGTGAAATTATACTTTGATGACAGGGAAACTAGAATGATGACTTTAATAATCCAGAAATCATAAATATCACAATTATTAGTTAGTATTTTACGTTATACGTTTTTCTCATGGACACATCAAAGCGATGTGATATGAAAAATATGATGTTATTCAATTTTAAATTAAAAATAGTTTATGGAAAATTTTAGTTGGTGGAGTTGGGGTTTTCTTACTTAAGATAATTCTTAATAGTATTGGAATCGCACTTTGCCATTCCAAATTGAATTCTACCGATTATACTCACCAGAAGAAAGAGAACACTATAATAGTATTGCTGCCATGGGAGCTACGCTTTTAGGAAGGAAGATCGTTCTGAGTGTGGCGTGCCTAATCTCGGGTGAAACTCAAGTAGTACGTTGTTGTACTCGCGAAGACTGTACCATTGTTAATAATGAAATCATTTAAGAAGATAGATATAAACAGATAAGTTAAAAGTGTCGCAATACTCCTATAGGATACATTTTCACAACTTAGCGCTATAATAAAACAATCAAAATTCCGCACAGATCGCTGGCCGTCCAAGTAATATGATGTTTCGTGGAAACTTGGCCATCGCAACTTATTCAATATTAGCCTCCCCCTGATCGACCACCCACGCCAGTGCTTCCCTCTGCCGCTAAACACAATAAATCATTATATTATTAACTTTCTTATTTATTTATTAGCTTCTCTATTGTTTTTCATTGTTACGTGGTCTGACTTCTATCTAATATACTTAGGCTTTATTAATGTTCATAACTAGAAAGAAGATTTTCCTTTAACCCAAGTATCGGAGTCTTTGAGCATTTGTGCATATTAATAAAGTATTAATAAATGGACGAAGAAGATTTCCGACCTTTATATACCATAATAATATATGTTTTTAAAAGTCCAGCTTCAGTCCGAATTATTGGAAGTCATGTAGTTTTACCAAGTAATGTAATTACTTCTTGTATTTTTATTAGTTCCAATATACAGATATATTCGAGCCATTGCTATATTATTATTCAAATCCTTTTGATTACTTTCGCTTTTTACCTACTTTTCCCTTATTCAATTCCAATTCTCTCATCTTCAATTCCCAAAGTACATGGTCTGATAATCTTGCTCCTAAGGAATGTAGAACTTAAATAATGGCAAACAAATTGTGAGTGATTAATATGTCTAACCGCTTGGGAATTCATATTTTATGTTTTAATTTTTTAAATCCACTGTCATGTTTCGAATAATGTGCTCGCGCCTCTACTTAACTATTTGGGCATATAGCTGTAAGTGTATGATGAGTTAAATTTTTATGTACCTTTTATCCCTGATCTCGCGACCTCCAATCCTCACTGTAAGATGAGGTGGTGGTTGACAAGTCCCATGATCAGGGGACACAAATGCTTTTCATTTTCTACTAATAACCCTATCTGGTAACAATTTAACAAAACAATTATTGCTAAAGTGATGTTAATCTGTCGGTTCGGGGATCTAATATAAATTAGCTATTGACTTACAAAATGTCCGGAGTCTTTGGTTGCATTATTTAGTTTTATCTTCTTTTTACACCTTTAATTATGTACCTAAAAGTCTAGATCAGGGATTCCCAAACTAATTTGCAAACTGCGCAGGACAATATAGAAAAGAAAATCTTGACACAAACCATATACGTCTGGCTAGCGTGGTATAGTAGGCCCAAACCTTATTTCTAAGGACAGGCCTATGTCCAGCACTGGACGATTAAAGGCTGTTGATGTGATGTGATGATGTGTAACCTATTATTCGGTATAATATATGCACAATAAAGAAGAAATGGTTTCCAGCTGATAGTATTAATTTCTAAGCATCCTCTCGAGTTTACCTTGCTCCACTTTGTACAAAGGGACCGTCGAGCGACCTAAACCCAGTACGGCATGAAGGTACAAGCTTTCACTATTCATCCTACAATCAAATTAGGTTAAACTCTCCGCGTCCGCCAGAGTGCGCTAGTTGTGGTCTGTGCTTCCGCTCTCGCCACCGACAATCGCACTTCAAAAGATTACAAGTAGACAATTGAAGTTAGTGAAGTTTGTTGAGCTTTGTCTCCAAATTTTATTAGCGCTGTTACTTTTGACGTTTAATTAGGATGGTTTAAAGCACTTGGTTAGTATACGAAATGATTTATTACTGCTCATGCCCCTCACAGTCCTTAATTATCTGGTAAAACTTGAAGGTTTTCCGTAACTTTTCCTTGCTTTTTTTTTATGTTTTTTACAACTTTTCCACCAGTTTTTTTGTATTACTTAGTCTGTTTTAATGTATTTCAGGCATTTAAAATATTCATAACAATAAATCAAATGTGTTTGAAATGAAGTTCTTAGTAGATATCCACAGACAAGCTGATGACAATAACGATAAAACGTATTTGAACACTCAATTTGTATTTAGATAAATTCACAGACATTGAAATAATAAATTATAAAGTAAAGACTTAGAACCCATTCATCCGTAATGAAACGAACGTATTTTTGTAGAATATTAGATCTATAGACTATTTTTAAAAGTCTAAATATATAAAGTAGTTATACTAACTTTTAAACTTTCGCGTTCCATGATAATTAATATTATATAACGGGAATTAACGCGATCTCTTATTTAGGGTATTACAGGTATGTAATACCCTAAATAAGAGATCGCGTTAATTCCCGTTATATAATATTAATTATAAAGTAGTTAGTACATAGACCCGGGAAATAATACTGCTATTGTTAGTCTGTACTTTCTTATTATATATTTCTATTATGTACTTGTGTTCTTAAATTCTAATTTTGTGTCACCCTCACTTTTCTTTCGTTGAAATTAAATAAATTAGATTTAAAAAAAAAACTTGCTGGGTAACCAAATTGCGTTTTATTGTGAACCTCATGTCATTTACATAACAATTAATCAAGACTGCGTAGCCTCTAGTCATATCTGCACTCCTGAAATTCTCAAGTCAATGGTAATATTTTACAATGGGACTGAGTTAA